GGGTTGCTTTTTTTTTTTTAATCTTTGCAACTCTTAATCTCAGCACTTCCCCTTCTCCCTGCCTCCCCCCCTCCCCACCCCTCCTAAATAAGGGATCAAATAATGCGAAAAGCAGTGTGCACATATTTGTTGAATGGGATGAGCAATTAGAGGGTGGAATATTATTGTGATCTTAACGAGCCTCGTTAAAGCTAAAGGAGATATGGGGGGAAAGTAAATGGGCCAGGCTGGGATACACGTTCGGATAAAGGGCTCCTAACTGAGACAATTTACACATGATTTGCACGTAGTTTCACTTCATTCTGCCTATCTGAGCACTAATACTGCCGGGGAAGAAAAGAAAGATGAGATCATTAGACCCATCCTCATGCCGGTGACCCTCCCCGAAGCAGCACGTACAGTACATTCTGGGTTCAGCCCTGGTTCCCTGAAGAAGCTCCCTGGCTCTCTCTCTCCCTCTCTCCTCCCTGGCTGCCGGGGGTACCTGCTAAAATTCAAGTTGAACAGGCTCTTGGCAGTCCCCTGCAGCGAGGCAGGGCTGCCAGGACTGTCCCTGCTCCGCGCTGGCCCTCTTCGGGAGGCCGAAAGGGGCTGTAATTTGGAGAAAGAAACCACTCCGCATAACTGGAATGGCAGACCCTCTTCCACCTTCCTGTTTCAGCTCTTTCCCTCTTTCCGCCTCTTTCCCTTTGTTTGCCCCCCCTTGCTCTTTCTTTCTCTCATCCTTTCTTTCTCTCTTCCTCCCTCCCTCCCTTCCCCATCTTCCCCCAGCAGTCGGCCACTAGCAAACAGAGCAGCCCAGGCTTTACCAGCCATTCCCCCCTCTCACATACAATTTCTGCCCCAAACTTTGAGGGGGGGAGGGGAAGTTGATTTCAAACGCAAATTAAATTTCTTTTTTTTTTCTACCCCCTTCCTCTCCAAAGTGCAGGCAAAGAAAGTCCAGCGGCTGTTTTGAACCCACATCTCAGCAACCACTTGCTGGGCTCCTGAACCTTGCTACCCTGCAACTATATTTATTATTAGGTATGTTGCTTTTAAGAAGATTTAATCAGCATCTTGAGCTGGTAACTCTTTTGTTTAGTTTCTGTAGCTATGGAAGTGTGATTTACAGAGATTTGTACGGGTCATGGACATCTTTCCAGACTTACTGTGTATATTTAGACAGGACTTTGCTTGGTGTTAAAAAGTGTATATTTTGAATAGGTTCACACACAGTAGCAAACAATACCGACATTGTAAAGCCATGTACAACGAGTATTGAAACGCAGCATCCAGACTTCAACTAATCTGCCCTCAATAAAGCTGAAATAATTATCCTAAGCCGCCTTTCTAGACGAAAAATCATTGAGGAATTCAAAACTTTTTTAAAGATCTTTTCTGCATTCCGATGCAGATCTAGGGGGTGAGGCGTGGAGCCCAAACTACTTTCAGACATCAATGGATGGGAAGGGGTGGG